GATGATATAATAGTTAAATAATAAATATTTAAAAAAATAATAAAAAGGTACAAGTAATCAAAATAATATATAAAAAATTATATATTAATTATGTCAAACAAAAATTAAGTGTGATAAGTAAAAATTATGTATATAATGTAGATAAAATATATAATTTAAAATTGATCCGAAAGCAAAGTTATTTTCTTATTAAATGGTGGGTTAATGGTCCAACTTTTCAAAGAAACTCATGATGTCATAATTGATTAATAAATATTTAAAAAAAAGATAGGACACAAAAGATAAAAAAATTATAGAGTTTTGTCAAAGACATTTTGGAACATTTCTAATTTTATATAATCATCATATTAAATAAAAATAATTGTTAAAATAAAAGTTAATTTTATTTAAGATAAAAATGTAATACAAAATTTAGTAGTAGTAGTAATAAATTAATAATAATAATAATTTTTATTATAATTTAAAATTTCCACATGTGCATATTTAATACAAATATTTAAGTTTATTTTATATATATTATTATTTTTATTAATTTTCAATTCATATCCTAACTATCATATATCTAAAATTCAAGTAATTGATATGAAAAAAATTCATACTWGTTACTGTTTAATTGCTATTATATATAATAAAAGTAATTTAAGAAATTTGCCTATTACAATAGCATAGTTAGATGATATCCTTCTTAATCAACGGCTCCGATCAGGTAATCGACATTGATGTTTGAGTGGRTGGGTCATCTCACGAAGTAATAATATCAAACATGAAATTCAAATGAGAAGATATTGTTCATCTAACGGCGTATRTGCATCTACTCAAATTGATTGATGTTTTCTACTGTAGGATGTGAAACATGGTATCATGAGTGCGCTGGTTAAGTCATTGCCACCGAAGGCGTAACTTAGAGTTCAGTCTTTTAGAGCCGGCCTATAAAGGTGAACAACTAGGGTTTACATGAAGCCCTAGACGGTAGTTCATTTCTTGCCGATAGAGAGAGAGAAGGGAAGATGCCGGCGGGTCACGGTCTGAGGTCTAGGACGAGGGATTTGTTCTCTCGGCCGTTCAGGAAGAAGGGATACATCCCATTGTCGACTTACCTGAAAACTTACCGCATCGGAGACTATGTGGACATCAAGGTGAACGGAGCCGTGCACAAGGGCATGCCCCATAAGTTCTACCATGGCCGCACCGGGAAGGTCTGGAACGTCACCAAACGGGCCATTGGCGTCGAAGTCAACAAACAGGTTGGTGTTCTCTACTCTGATTGATCTCTTCTCATCTTTACTTGCCCAATTTTCTGGTGTAGTTGAAGGATTGCTTGATTTAGTTCTGTTTAATGGAAGTAGTAAAGCATATTTTGGATGAAACGGGTAGGCGTGGTCAGTATTACAGTGGATGTTATAATGGGTTGAGCTTCGTTTGGTGATACGATAGGAAGGAGGAAAAGAAAATAACATTTGATTTGTATAGTATTTGGGCATTGAATTGAAATTGGTTTTGTCTATCGGGGTTGAACTGTATTTTCTGGTTCTGATGAAATGGGTGTTTAAGCTTCATATGGTAAAATTGTCGGTCAAATTTTGGTTGAAATGAGTATACACTGAAAACTAGAGATGATGATATAATGAGTTTTGCTACATTTGGTAACTTGGATCTAAACAAGTAAAGAAAGAAAATTACATTTTGGTTAATTAGCTTAGCAGATAGGGAACCATTCTGCCGACGTTGGAACTTGGAAGTACTGTTTGTCTGAATGGGTGCAGGTGGGGTTTGTAGAATTGAACAATGGAAACTGTTATTTGTTTCTTGTGCTGTCTTGATTGGTTATCTGTTTTGATTTGTTTATTGTTTACTTWAATGAGTAGAAGCTAGACCCAGAATATAAATGGTCCTTTTCGAGTCAATACCTTTGATTAATTCTTATTAGTATTCGTGGGGAGCAGTGGATGTAGAATGACCTTTTTCTTTGGCGATTAGCTGTTGTATTTCTTTGAATCTCATCCAATCTGATATGTTCTATGGGCATTTGTACTTCTCTATTATGTCTTTTTTTCCTATTTTATTCTTTATTTCAGCACTTCCATATTGACATTTGATGCATTTGTTTTTTTTAGAACAGAGGAAATTCGTTATTTGCTCAAGTCTATTAAAAATGTACTTGAATTTTATTAAAATGTCTTGAAATTTTGTGACTCTGATTTGGTTTCAAGGCTGTAACAACCTAACAGGAACATAACTGTACAGTAAATTATGCAGCTRAGCAATGTACCAGCCCATGTGTTTGGTTGCATTAATCCTATTTCAGAACTCCATTTGTCAGAAGCCAATCTTTTATTAGCTAGAAGTAACTATACAAAATAGTTGACCCCATATAGTTGGGATATGGCATGGATGGTGATGATGATGATTAAATAACCATACAAAATAAATAGAAGGTATCCTAAACTTTGACCCAAAATGGGTAAGTAGGAGATGGTCCAGAAGAACATATGAGAATAGGAAAATTGGTGATTTTTATCAGTTAGGAAAGAGCCAGTCGTTGCCTTTGAGAGAACTGGGTGAGCTTAGTTCATCCATGCCACTCAGCTTCATTGCAGGCATACATAAACTCCCTTGGTAACTCATCAAACTCAGCAGAAGAGAAAGAGCTTCTCCGCACTAACTCTTTTGCAATAGTAAGGGTTTTACAAAAGTTCTCTTTCTAAAACAGTAATTAATATTACAATTGAATATTTGGTCATAGAAATCATAAAATATGTGCAAGGAAAAAACTTAGGAGGGAACGAGTGAGATAAAAATACTTTAGTTTTCTTAATAATATCTAAACGTTGGATTTTTATTGAAATTGTGGAATTTTGTCAGAATTCTGGCTCCTCTCTTGGAATCTGCTTCATAACCCAAATTTAAAAGAATCATTTTGGGACATATGTTCTGCTGTTTGTGTAAGGAAGTTACTTCGATGGCCTATTATCCTTCTTCTCGTTTGCTTGTGCTGTACATGGTAAACAACCAAACATTTTATTTGGTGGGCCTTATCCCAGTTAACTATTAGCATACCAAATATTGTTGTTTCATGCATTGTTTAGTTTAGCAACTAATGGAATGTTTGTGGCCTCCCATGGGATGTCTGAATGAAAAAACTACATCTGTTGTAACATTAATTAGTTTTAAATGGTTTGATACAAGTTTTAGGTGATGATGGATGAGGCCAACTGGCAAGTACATGTTTGATACTTGAATAAATTCTGTTGTTCATGGTATTAAGGAATAAGYGTTGAATGTTTATGCTATTTGATCTTTAAAGTTAAACAGCATCAGGTGCTCCTTTCAATTATCTTTAGTTGTGCATTTATCTGACATCAATCCATCATTAGCCAATCTGAACAAGCCTTTTCCATTGCAAACATACTTGCATTAAACATTGGTTGTGCATATCACCCAGGTGGGCAACAGGATAATTCGGAAGAGGATTCATGTGCGTGTGGAACATGTGCAACCTTCAAGATGCACAGAAGAATTCAAAAATCGCAAGTTGCAGAATGATCAGCTGAAGGCCGAGGCTAAGGCCCGAGGAGAGGTGATTAGCACAAAGAGGCAGCCAGAAGGACCTAAACCAGGGTTTATGGTTGAGGGTGCCACCTTGGAGACTGTCACCCCCATCCCGTATGATGTTGTCAATGATCTCAAAGGAGGATACTAATTCTTGTCATCATCACAAAATAGGTGGTCTTCAGGGATTTTGGTTATCTACTGGTTTTGTGTTAATTGAACCTTTGGCAATAGTTTTGTTTCTTGTTGAGGTTTCCTGCTATTTTTGACTCAGAAAAGACTTCTCATACTTTCAGTATTAGGTGCAAGTTCATTCATTAAAAGATTTTGAGGCTTGTCATAAATTATGCGACTCGGTTAGTGTTATTTTAAGTGTTGAATGTTAGTGTTATTCATATACCATGCCTTTGTCAATGCTTGTTTCCTTGGCCTCACGTTGGTTGGGGGTAGGGGATATCATCCTAAGATTTTGGTGKCTCTCTCTTTCTCCCTCTCTCTCTCTCTCTCTCTCCAATCTTTTGGAATTTGGACGTAAATGCATACGGTTGCTTGGTATTGATCCATCATGTCACAWTCAGTGATGTAAACAATTTCTCAAATTTAAAGTTGTCACTTTTTAATTATATTATGTGTCATTAAACTTTCATGATTAGTAACTGTTAGTCTGTTACAACATATAAGTCTGAGTAAATTATCAAAAAAACATATAATATTTTATTAAGATGAATTAAACCCTGGTCAGTAGTTTGTAAGACCAAAACCCTCCCACCATGTCATAACTCATAATGGCACTTGGTTTTTATCTAATATATTATTTTTCTTAGTGGATGTAATATATACTTAAATTGACAATCCAAATTTATACATTTATAAATATTAACACAATTTATAATTATGTTTTGAGAATTAAGATATAGGTTTGCACATTTTAGTTCTTCCATTATTTTTAAACAGTTACCAATCGTATCCTGATATCTTATATTTTTATGCACAAATAATCTAATAATGGAAATATAAAACAAGTCTTTTTTATTAATATAACATAGTTTTTGAAATTCATATAAATTTCATAGTGTATGTCAGTATGTGTATCCATATATATCTCGAATTTGGATATATTCAATAAGTCTCTTAAAATTACTTTTCCAATACTGTGTTCGTATACTTGAACCTTAATTTGTGCGGTATATAGATGAATTGGGTCATAATCTGCCACCCCAAATATGCAGCAAGCAACATTGTAGTGAAGCCATATRTATTGGATATAAGGTTCAAATTTTTGATACAATACGTACGGGCGTATTGTATTGTATCTTTTGGGTTTTGATACATTTGTGTACAGGTGTTTCTATTTAACTCTCCAAAAAAAAACCCATGTTTCGGTGTGTATCGTCATTGAATCATATCACCCACCCTTCATCCTTCATCTTTTTTCTTTTTATGCGTTAAAAGCATCTTACTTTTGGATAGGCTGTGATTTTTTTCGTATTGGATTCACATCAGGTAATAAAGAAAAAAAATTAATTATTTTTTTATTTATATAAAACGCATATAAATACAAAATATTATATATAATATCTATCTATATATGCATTATTATATAATTTATAATTGAATCTGGATATTATCAGATTAGATAGAGTTAATTCCGCATCTAATCCAATTATTAGGGGGTGTTCAGCAACATGGTTTATTTTGCTTTTCAAAACAGAAACCATCGCCATGCCAGCAAAAATAAATGGATGCATGATGCGTCCAAGCTATGGGCATCCTTTCTTCTCTAGCAATGACAACGGCTTCATTTGTTACAAAAGCTTCAACTAAATTGTACATGTTATTCTAGTTGATCTCATATCTGAAAAAATAATATAGTAGCCATTTGTCTGAATTCGAATTTTTCAATTTGACTTTAATCTTACAAATGCTATTGAATTTCTGAGGGTTTTTTTTTTTTGTTTAACTTATTAACTAGCGGAGGGGCCCTCTTTCACAGGGGCTGGAATAGAACCATCAACTTGTCAATTCGTTGACTCGGTCTTTAGCTAAAAATCATTGAATCGCTCAATGACCCATTGATCTAAGCAATTGAATTATTGACCCATTGACCTGTTCAATGGTTTTTGGCTGTTTTTTAATTTTTTAATCGGCCATCTAGGCAACCGGTTCCGTTTTATACTAATCTCGGTACGTAATAAAAAATCATTGAATCAGTTAACGATCTATTGACACAGGCGGTTGAACCATTGACCCGTTCAATGATTTTTGGTCGTTTTTTTTTTTTAATTTTTATTATCAGAATGGGCCATCCGTTCAATCTGAACAGTCAAACCATTGACCCAAAAACCGGTGGCTAGAATGGTTCCATTTTCAACTTGTATTAGTCACATGCTCAAGTGACATAACACGTATGGTAATGCTTAATGGATCTCACACACTCAATTTTTGTTGTCAGAATGGGTCGTCCGTTTTTATTTATTTTTAATTGGAAACTRTCAAGGCAACGAATTCCGTTTTACCCCAATCCTGGTCCCTGGGCAAAACCATTGAATCAGTCAATGATCCATTGACCTAAATGGTCGAACCATCAACTCATGGACCCGTTAAATGGTTTTTGGCAGTTTTTTTTATTTTTTTAATTTTTGTTGTTAGAATAGGTCGTCTATTCAAACTGGACGGTCGAATCATCGACCCGAAAACCAGTGGCCAKAATGGTTCCATTTTTGGGTTGTATGAGTCACACGCTCGAATGACATAACATGTATGATATTGTTCAATAGACCTCACACACTCAATTTTTTGCCTGTAATTTTTGTTGTCAKAACGGAATGTCCGTTCAAACTGGGCTCTCGAACCGCTGACCTGAAAATCGGTGGCCAAAATGGTTCCGTGAATTTTTTATTATAATTTTTTGATGCCAGAACAGGCTATCCGTTTAAACTGAACGTCCGAACCGTCGATCCAAAAACCGGTGGCCAAAATGGTTCCATTTTCGGGTCGTATGAGTCACACTCAAATGATATAACATGTATGGTACTACTTAATGAACCTCACAAACTCAGTTTTTTGCTTATAAATTTTGTTGTTAGAATGGACTGTTTGTTTAAACCGGATGATCGAACCGTCGACCCAAAAACCGGTGGCCARAATGGTTCTATAATTTTTTGCTTGTAATTTTTGTTGTCAGAATGGGCCATCCGTTTGAACTAAACGGTCAAAGAGTTAGTTGTCAGAACGTTATTAACAACATTTATTAATAATAGTAAGTAATTATACTATTTAATTAAATAATCATTAATGATAGTTTTAATAATATTATTTAGTTATTTTTAATATAACAATAATTATTAAATTTATGAATATTATTTATTAACAATATTCATTAAATTAATAATTACCAAAATTAAATTAAATTAACAGTATTTATTAGTAATAGTCAGTAATTATAATATTTTATTAAATAATCAATAACAATACTTTTAATAGCATTTTTAATTATTTTGAATATAACAATAATTACTATTTATTAACAGTATTTATAATTTTAATTATATATTAACAGTATTTATAATTTTAATATTTTAATTATACAATAATTATAATATTTTATTAACAGTATTTATAATTTTAATTTAAAGTAAAATTTAAGTAAATATCTATTTATTAACAATAATTATTAATTATAATCACTAATTATATACTTATTAAATTACTATAATAATCAGTAATTATTAAAATTGGGTTACTAAATTTATTAACAGCATTTTTTAATAACAATATTTATAATTTTAATTTAAAGTAAAATTCAAGTAAATATCTAGTTATTAACAATATTTATAATAACAGTAATTATTAATTATAATCACTAATTATATATGTATTAAATTACTGTGATAATCGGTAATTATTATTACAGTATAATTACAGTAATTAACTACTGTAATAATTACTTTAATAATATTAAATTAATTACTATACTAATTAATTTGTAATGAATTACACTAATTATGTATTTATTAGTTTAATATTATTACAGTAATTATTGTTACTATAATTAATCAGTAATTATTGTTATTAGTTAGATTTTAATTAGTAATTATTGTTATTAATTAATAGTTAATTAGTAATCAATTACTGTAATTAATTATTGGAAATGGGTGCTCGCACGTGAAATCTACTCGCATGAGTAGATTCCATTTTCTGAGTGCAGATATATTCCATTTCAGTTACTCATTGATCATCAATAAGTATTGAGTTCAATCCAATTTGTTTGCACCAAGGTTTTCAAAACTGAATTAGACAGAGAACTGTTTTGGGGACTGGTTCCTAGGTCGAATGGTCCAACTGTCCAGTTCAAATGGATAACTGGTTCTGACTTAAAAAAAAAAGGCAAAAAATTATTGTTCAGGTCAAAAGTTTGACCATCCAGATCAACGGGTCACTGTCCAAATCAACAAAATTTGACCAAAAAACACTTTTAGGGTGAAACCTAACTGATTCCTCATTTTCCTATCCGACCATCTAGTCCGGTCTGATTTTCAAAACCTTGCACCCTATCAAAAGATTATCCATGTTTAATTATGTAATCAAAAAGTAGCCATGGCATTTATTGTGTATCACATTTTTTCTCCATCAATCCATCCTTCTCATCCATTCATTTCTTTATTTCCAATAATGGCCTTAGGCGGTTAAGGTTCACCATTAAGCACTAGTAAATGCACGTAGTGTCTTTAGGCAATGTTCAAAATCTCAATACGATACATTTGTATCAGGCATATTGTATCGTATCTTTTAGGTCTCAATACGTTTGTTTACAGGTGTTTTGGGACCCCACTCCTTTTTAATGAAAAATACATGTATTTAACTCCCCAAAAACCAAATTTTGAAAAAATTACTAAAAAACCCATGTTTCTGTGTGTATCGAAGTGCCAATATATTTTTGCCGATATATAGAGGCATATCGATACTTTGAACTATGACTCTAAGACAAAACTATTTATAATTCGTGGTCTGTTTTTGAATGGCTATAAGTGGACGATTTCTGAATAGTTTAAGTGGTTAATTTTTGAAGTGAGAATAAATGATACATGTGCCCTCTTTTATGCCCACTGTATGCCTAAACAAGGGGTAGAAAATATCCAATAAAAATTCCAAAAAGAAGAGGCATTCACTCTTTTCTAAGTAATATAGATATTTGCTTTATTAAGAGGCATTTCACAAATAGGTGAGGAATATTCATCATCTATAGTGAATTAGGACATTTCACAATTCAGTTCAGTTGGACTATAGTTTTATAATTTTAAAATGACAAAAATATCCCTATATTTTACCTTCTTAAAATAAAAACTATTTTAATGTGTTTGGTATCAATGCCATTTCTTTAAGGCGTTTCTTCCCCGGTA